CCAAACAATCAACCGCACCAGCGAGGCCATAGTTTCACTGCTGTTCAAAGTGCACAAAGTGCGTGTTTCAACAATATTGTAGACATACAGCACCCTTAATCATTAATACATGAATAATATTGTGGCATTTGATTTCTGAGAAACACATGAACAATGTAAAAATATAATCGTTTAGTTACAGGAAGAATAAATACAATGCAATTGAACATTGAAATACAAATTATGTATTAAAAAGTCACTTAACAATTTACTTATTGTACATTAATACTATTGTACGAATCAAATACAATTTATATTCACAAAAAATATTTAAATTTTCAAAAATATTTCTCGAAAACAACAATTTATAGTGCTCATGTTAAACTTATATAAAAAAAAAGTATATTAAGTTATGCCTATAATTATTTTGTAACTATCATACATTACTTCAGGTTTAACAGCAAATACGGAAATTCAAATAAACACAAATTTAATTTATTGACCATCGATGTAATCAATTGAAACATAAAAATTTTTTTTTATTGAAATTAAGCCCGGTGACTAAGGCCATTAGCTGTTGTAGGGCTAATGAACTGTGGTAGGGGTAAGGTGGGGAAAGTAGGTTTTTTTACGATTGTTAGGGTTGTTACGGTAGGTAGCAAACGCATGAATGTGTGACGTTTTTAACTGATATGAACCTGGGTGGTCACCCATCCGGGAGGCATATTAACATACTGTACATTGCTACACGACCGCTGTTCTCTGATTGGCTGATTCAAATTTGCGCGGTTTTATTGAATAATAATTATTATCAAANATTGTATATTATTTTACACGATCCGTCATAGACGGAGGTCGAGAAAATAATAAACATCGCTCCCGAATGAGCACAATCGTCGGCCGACAGTCGACAATGTGTAGTGGGCGTGGCTTAAACGTCGCGTGCTTGCGGATCACGAAAACACTTAACAGCGCATTCTCTCGGCCGTTGTATACGTTTCGCTTTCGGTGTGGCGTCCTCTTAAGAGGACGTCGCACCCGTAATATTTAGTGGTAAAAACAGGTCTGCGAAAAACAAACGAAATGCTATTAAAAAATGGTTTTAGAGCAAAAATACCTATTATGAAATTTATAGAGCACAATATTTAAGAGACAACCTCATCGGTGTTTTTTGAAATATGAACTATTATAAAAGTTACAGTTGTTTAAAAAATGTAAAAAAACAGGTTTTTGTGCCTTTTATAACGAGCTGTATATTTAAAATAGAACAAAATCCCGATGAGGTCGTCTCCGAAATATTGTATTCTACAAACCTCATAATAGGTATTTTTGCTCTAAAACCGTTTTTTAATGATGTTTTGTTTGTTTTCCGTAAACATGTTTACGCTGTTCAATTTAATTTTTCATTGCTGTACTGTGCTGCCACCTGCCTACCGTCGCGACGTCAGCCTCGATTTTCTCCCACTACTCCAAAAACTGAATTTCTACTACAACTATCGCGCGGTGACGGTTGGTCGATGGTTATCGGACGCTTCCAGGAAAAGACTGGCCTAATATAGTCAATATAGACAATATCATTATTATTAATATTATAAGCTAAAGAGTAATGACCTCCATATAATGTAATAAGAATTATTTTAGTTTTTATTATAGAAATTGGTCAAATATGTCAAGTATTCAACTTGGTACATTTTGATTATAAATTCGACATTCGTATTGCTATGAAACTAATTCCCGTTTCTTAGCTACGTTTTGAATAATTATTGAGAAACCTGCAAACTCCTAGAAGTCCCTAGTCCTAGACTTATTACGAATTATGATAACGGAAGTAATAATATATACACTTCCTACTAATAGCTGTATTTTCAATAATTTGTACACAAATAAGTATTCAATTTATTTTCGATTTACTACACACCCGTGACAATCATTCCTCCTGAGTAATTGGATATGATCACATTATTTCTTTATGATTTTCGTGTCGTCCTGTTCAAATTGTTTTTGTGAATTTTTTTTTGAATAATTATTTTCCATTTCTCTTGACAATGGCAAATAAAGAAAACAAACAAAAACGGAAACGATCATCTAAAAAAAAAATAACGAGTTCCCTTGCACTACGACGATGCAAACAAATAAAGTAAGTATGAATATTATATATTAAATCGATACAATAAACCCCAAAAGTAAGTGTTTATGGGGATTACGCATTGTTTTTGTACATCAATATTGTTTTATTGTAATTTTTAATATATGTAGTAGCGTCAACTTTTTTATTTAATTACTGTTTAATTAAATAATTGATTTGTTAGCAATATTAATATAAACAATTTAACTTTTTTTTTATCAAAATAATAAAATATTTATGTACATTGTGTTTTATTTTTTTAATTGTAATTATAATTATTGTAGCCCTGCAGAAGAAAATGTAAATAATTCACCACAAAAATACTTTTTATCTCCATCTCAATCAAGGTATTATTATTATAATTATAATTGTAGATACATAGAACTTTAAAATTTAAATCCTTAACCCTTGCCAAAACATGAATAAGTGATTTCAGTAAAAGTACCCGCAAATTTTTTCTGGTAAAAGTAAATTTACGCACATTTTACCGAGATGGGCGAGATGTATTTGAACATTGTAATAATAATGAAGTAACCCCACATTTTATTTTTAATCAAAAAAAATTGTTTTGGTGCTAGTAATTTAAATTTAATTGTTCATTGAGAATTAGTTACGGTTTACGGTAAACATTTTGCACAGCATTAAAATTTTAGATTCTGAGTGGAACGATGAATGTATTGATTTTACAATGATGTGTGTTTTTTTATTTTTTTATTTATTTATTTTTTTTTTTTGTGTCTGTCATCACCTTTTAGGACAGTAAAACTGCTTCGATTTTCTTCAACAGCAACTGTTCTGATTGGAAAGTGAATCTAGTTGGTACTTTGGGGGGTCAAAAGTAAAAATTTCCCAGTAGTTTTCAAAAGCGACGTGAAAAACAAAAGAAAAATTAAGGAAAAACGGGACTTTTTACGCAAAATGGATTTTTAACAAAATCGATTTTGTTTTTGGTGTAACTCTAAAACAAATGGCCGTAGATATATGAAATTTTCACAGGTTGTTTATATTTGCATTTTCTATACACGGTAAAATTTTGAAAATAATTTGACTCTTTTTGAGATGTTTACGGACATTGTCAATTTTCAATTTTCTTAGTTTTTTTTTCTATAAATACCAATAAAATNTTTAATTATAAAAAATTACCATTATAATTTACAAAATGAATCTCCATTTGCCTAAGTCGTTCATTAACAAAATAGTAACTGAACTAGAATGTTATGAATATGTTATTCGATCAAACATTAAAACTATAGAAGATTGTAATTTGTGGGTTTCTGAATTTGGAAAATTAAATAATATTAAATGGAATGCTAGATCTTCTCGACCATGTGGGAAAAAAATGAATTGTTCGTAAGTATAATATTATAGGTACATTATACTAATCAGAGAATATATTACATTTATGTAAAAGTGGTAAATACTCACAAATGTTCATAAAATATAATTCTAGGACATGGGACATTAGGTATTGTATAATTTACAATTAATATACCTAAGTCAGTCTTTGAATTTAACACTTAATTTGTATGATTTAATAATAATGAATTATTAATTTGGTTGAGTTTAAATTATTAAGAAAATATAAATATAAATGTAATATATTTTTAGTAAGGCAATATTATGAGGTGATCCATCCACTGCTATCCTGTCATTATGCCTGCCAAACTAAAATGTATCAATATAAAAGTGCATACAATATATATTATATATATTTACATTGTTTATTTAAATGTAATTAAAATTTTTAATATTGGATTTTTTGATATTGTAATATTGGCATGAATTCAGTAAAATCTTTTTTTCAGTAACACTTATCAATGATTATTATTGTAATATGATATAATATTGTCTACAATTAAATGAAGGACAAATTATATAGGCCAGTAACTCAGTAATAATATTGTACATTTAGGATAACCATATTAATATGATTATTACATTTTGGAAGTTAAAATAGATTATTCTTTATCATTGTTTTTAGAATAATAATTTTGTACAGTGAACAAAATCAATAATAATAAGTCTAAATATCAGGTACTCTTTTAATTGAGTTTTTAATTTAATTTAACAATTCTCAATGGCCTATTTTTTTTTTTTAATGAACTAATGGCATTCTCTTTTCTTATAAAATACTTAAATATATTGTCTATTACAAAATATGTAAAAAAAATAATCATGCTTAGCTTATATTTATTTAAAAAACCATTTGTGTTAATAACTACCAATTTAAATAGTTTGGTACCCACATACAATTTGATTAGTAGGTAAGTTTGAAATTTTAATTTAATAATTTTAAGCTATAGATTTTAATCAATAACTTATTTGATATTATTATGTTTCTTGCACTTTTAGTTTTTAAAAATGATATGTATCATTACTTTAAAATAAGTATACCTAGGTATTTGATTTTAAATAAAAAAGTTAATTTTTTTTAGTTTGAATATACCTATTTATTGATTACAAGTTTATACACCTAATGGATTAGGTAAAAATATTTTGAAAATAGTTTTATTTAGTTTTATAATATCTTTATAACTTTATAAAGATTTTACAATTTCTGATTAAAAAAAGATGATAAATCTAAAAATACCTAATTAACATAAGTTTTTTGTACATACTTTTTTGATAATACTTTTTTTTATTGTGGTAGATAGGTAACTGATAAGTATTTTTTGATTATTCGTGTATGATCATAAATCTGTAAAATACTTAAACAAATTTGTCTTTTTTTGAATAAAAAATTACAGAGCAGTAAGACTCAAGAATATAAATTTAATATTTATCAATACCATGCTGATTTTAAATGAGTTATAATTTTTTTATAGTTTAGATCTTTAGTACCCAAGTTTTTATTATTTGTTTCTAGGAAAAAGTTTGTATGTCAGCATAGCTCCTTTCGTAAAGTTGCCAGAGAAGAAAATAAAAAAGGGAACTCAAAAAATGCTAACTGTTTAGCTTCTGTAACATGTATGGTAAAATTAGATACTCATTCTACACGAAAAGTTGATCCCTATATTAAGGTTTGGTTATTTGTATATTTTTCTTATTACTTATTTAAATACATTATTAAGATAGTCACCACCTTGATAAGTACTTATAATTATAATTCACTTGTTTGAAAATTTTACTTACATATTATTTAATTAAATACATTTAGTAAAATTAATTTTCAGGATGGGTTATATGGTGTAATAAGAATTAAAAATAAACATAATCATAGTATTGACACTGCTGAAACTTTACGCTTTTTACCAGCAGACAAAATACTTAAAAATACCTTTTTCGAGTATTTTAACGATAATATGGGTATAACTGATGCAATTAATTGTCATGAGCGCATTTTAGAATTGAAAGAAAATTTTTCACTGGAAGTCTTGGCTAATGGATCTATTAATCCGACTTATAGAACTGTCCAAAATTGGCACAATGAATGGAGGTTGGAAAATTTAGGTCCACGGTCTGGATCAGGTTTGATTGAGGTAATTTTTTGTAATTTTATACATATTTCATTAGTATTTAACAATTTAAGAGAGTAGTTGAAGATTTCATAGACAATTTATTATTAGTTATAACAATATATTTTGGATTTATCCATGCTCCATCTTCAGAGTATGTCTGAATGTTGTGAATATATAAATTATTTTACTTTGGTCTTGTATTAAAAATATGGTTTTAAGATTTTTTATTATAAAAAGGTTAGGTTAGCTTTATAGTTACTAAAAAAAGAAGACACATATCAATTAAATAATAAATTAATACAAATCTTTGGGGGTTTTCTAATGGATCTATATAGTATATTAATTTAACATGATTGATTAAAAATGAATGCCAAATTTCCAAACTTATATCATTAAACTTCATACAACTTTTGTTTTTGTTTTTCTTGAACAATTAAAAAAGCTGACTTCTTCTCTTTTTGTAGTTAGAAATTATAAGCTAATAGACCTATTTTTAAAAAAAGCTAAAAAGTTATTTCATTTTCTGATTTGAAAATTGAAATGTATACAATCCTATTAGGCATCTAAAGATATAATAACTTATGATGTTTTTTTTTTCTAGAAAATAATACAAAAGATTGATGTATACAAAGAGAGAAATGTTATAGTTAAGTTCAAGGAAGATCCATTTGCATTAGTTATTATTACCCCACTTATGCAACGAGCCCATTCATTAAAGTCATCTAGTAACATTGTATTTGTAGACAGTACATCTGCCTGTGATGCAGACAATTATTCTATAACATTTATGCTTACTCCTTGTGCTGCAGGTGCAGTTCCATTAGCAATAATTATTACAAAAGGTATATTAAAAATTAATTTTATCTATCTATAAATTAATTTCAGTTAGCTTAGATCCTTATTTAATAAATAATTAATAGGTCAGACATATTCAGCATATAACACTGGATTTCAGTTACTAAAAGAATGTGGTATAAATTGCTTTGGTGGTGTTGGTTGGCCAAAAATCTTTATAACTGATAATGCTGCAGCTGAAATAAATGCAATTGAAAACAACTGGCCGAATAGTATCCATTTACTATGCATTTTCCATGTTTGTCAGGCTGTTTGGCGTTGGGTCTGGGACTCAAAGAATAGCATACCGAAAGAGAAGCGACCAATAATTATGAAGAGTTTTCAATCTATTTTATATGCTGATACAGTTGATTCTTCAGAGAAATGTTTTAATGATAGTATTAAAAACTCTGAATTTCCAAATTGGTCAAGATATTTAAATGAACATTGGCAAACAAGACACAAATGGTGTTTGGCGTGGCGTGATGAATCAACTAAAGGTCATCACACAAACAACTATTCTGAAATTACTGTTCGAATTTTTAAAGACACTGTTCTTTCAAGAGTAAAAGCATACAACGTCGTAGCTTTATTAGATTTCACATGCACAGTATTAGAAGATCATTATTGTAGGCGCTTAATGGCTTTTGCTAATTGTAGACACACTAAAAATAGAACTGCTAGAATCTTTTTAGATTCATTAATAAAAAAAGCAAGTACAATACAAAAAGTTCATATAGTATCTAAATCAGAATATGAGTATTGTGTACAGAGTGAAAAAGATTCTTCATGTATTTATGAAGTAAACATTATGGGAGGTTGTTGTTCATGCCTTTCTGGTAAATTTGGTAAATTCTGTAAACATCAGTGCGCTGTTTATATTCATTTTGATGTAATTTCAAAAAGTTTCCCTCCAGTTACCCCAAAAGATAGATACGAAATTGCTATTTTAGCCCAGGGGAATGTATCTATCTCACCAGATTTCTTCCAGTCATTTTTATCGGTAAATAATTGTTCTCAAATTGATGCACCAAAAGAAAGTACTGATTTTCTAAATTATTCTAATACTAATGAGCCAGATAATTCACATCATAAAGATAATAATGTACCAAATGATTCTGAAATTATAGAAAATAAAGAGACAAAAAATAAATCAATACATTGTATTATAGATTTAATCAAATCTAAAGACTCAAAGTTTGGCTCATCCACTGCAGGGTTGAATATTTTAGAGTCTCGTTTGAAGAAGATAACAACCGAAGGACAGTGGCAATCGTTTTTACATACTGCTGGAAATTCAGCTGTTGCTTTGCGAAAAAGGCCTGGTGCAAAAATTAGAGTCCAGCCAACATCTATTGCAAGGAGATTACCCAGAGTTACAAAAGGAAGTAAACGTCTACCATCAGGTCGTCCAGCAAATGGTGAAATTAACACCAAAAAAAGAAAAAGAAATCTTGGTGCTAATGTTCAATTGAATGTGCCTAATGCAAAATCACATGGGCACAATCATTAATATATA